TAGTCTCAGCCTACCCCCGTGGGAGACAGGCTTAATCTTCATATCGTATCGATGGCATTTACTGTAATGTACAAACACAAACAATTACATCACAGTGGTGAGAGACAGGCGTAATGATATGTATGTATTTACAAGAAATAGTACGCTTTATAATTATAACCTTTTTATTAAAAAAACCGACTTTTAAAGTTCATGGAATTACATCTATTTGCTAAGTTTTATTGAAATCGGTTACCGAAAACTGCGTGAAACTGGATTCATCCCCTACTTAGCCAGCCTTAGAAGTGGAATATTGTCTTCAAATTCAAATGGGATCAATACCGAAGTACCCTCTTTCCATCAAAAAAATAATCAACAAAATCGGTTCAAAAATGAGTAATCGCGTAACATACATACAAAAAGAATACAGACGAATTGAAAACCTCCTCCTTTTTTGCAGTCGGTTAAAAAGTAAGTAAATGTTGTTATTTGAAGAACTAATGGGTAGATACTAAAATCATTAATATCCAACAGTTACTTGCAATGGCAAGAACGAATAACTGCAAGTTAATTTTCCTTCTGTTTTAGAAATAATGACTAATTACTGTTGTTAAATAGAAGACAATTTACTCAATTACGAAACGGCGAGATGAGAATTTATATCAGAGTATCTTTTATGTACCTATTACCTACTAGATCGGTTTATGATATAACACAGTTGATTGTCGTATATTATCCTCTTACGCGTATTACCTAACCGTTAGTGCTGTTCTGTATTGTTGTATAATAAAGGAAAGGGTGGTTCGACCTGTTTCTAAAACAGGCTTTTATTACGAATTATGTATCTAATGTTCGTGGGCCACCGTGTTCTTGATATCGGAAGCTTTATGAGGACAGTTATACCCGGCCCCGTGACTGCGTTTTGTTTATCCATATAAAGATGTCTAGATATATCTTTTTGATATGAGACGCTCATTATTTTTTGTATGGTCATAATTTTCGAAATATAAAGAAAATTATTTAAACCCTTAGTAAATAGCTTAATAACATCACGAAATGACCATATCCTCGCTATTCATAAGTCACTTAGATTTAAATGCCCAGAACTCGATTTGAACATTGCAACTCGTGTTAAAATCTTACTTTTGAAATAGTTTTCCTTTGATTTTCGTGTACTAGAGTATATAAACGAAGTCGCAATTTGTCAATTTATACATACTTTCAAAATATAGTTCGACGAAATAGTCAAAAGTTACTATCTATTTTGTGTTTGTTTTGAAACAAATTCAAATGATAGTAACTTTCGACTAAATAAAAGTTACTGTATTTTAAGTTTGTTTTTAGTTTAGTAGTTGAGTGTTATTAGACTATCTCCTTTTCAAGAGAAAATACGCAAATATTTATGTAAAATGTCACATAGAGCCACTCCATGGTTAACGGGTGATATAACTGTGATGTTTAAATGAAAGGACATGACGAAAGCAAAAGATCCTACTAATAAATATACAACACAAGCCAGATCCCGGTCAAACATTCTCTTCACAATACTTAAATCAGAAATATCTATTTTTGAACGTAATGCTGTTTGTGTTGTTTTATGTTTGTAGAATTGATAGCGACTTGCATTCGGGTGGTAATAAATCACAATAAGCTCGCTTATAATGCTCGTTTATTCAACGTATGCACCATTCGGAACAACTGTATGAATATAAATGTACAGTTTTCTACATATATTGCTCCGAGAAAGTTATTGTTATTTTCTATGACAAGAGAATCGTAGTCACAAATATTCAGGAAATGACAAAATGACAAATAGTCCGTTCAGAAAAATTGTAGTTCGAAGTAATTTGTTACTTTAAACAATACGTTTTTTATCAAGTTCTTAGGTTTTTGCGATTGTTATAGATAGGAAATGAAACTACTTTGTCTATTTTTCACGTATATTTGTTTTTTCAAACAAAATAACTTCACCCATGACCATGGGATCTGTAAATGATCCGAAACATTTTAGATCCGAAAAATAGTTGCATTTCCAATACGTTTCTTTTTAAACCTTTTTGTCAAATCGCAACCCGCATTGGGCCAGTGTGGCGGACTATGGCCTATATATACCCTTGCTCGAGAGGAAACTCTTGCCCAGCAGTAGAACCTATAAATGGGTTGATGATGATTAAATCCTGTCCTTGATGTATGTAATAAGGCCACATCTGCAAAATGACCACTTAATAGTAGAGAGAAATTAGTCGATAACTTTATTAAATTTCACGTACATAATAAGGTGTATATATTTTATTTCATGTGCGAGAAAAAAAAAGTAGTTCGTAATATTTCTTATGATAAAGCGCTTTTGACGTAGGACCACATATTGCTATACTATATGAAGGCATCGAGTATTCTGATTATATATATGAAGGGTACGAAATATCGATTAATTTATTCAATTAAAAATTTATTCGGTTACATACATGTTATTGATTTCGAGTTGTATTTAAACTATTCATTTAATATGCATAGTATGGCCATAAAAATGTTAGGATGCTTCGTCATAATCTGTCCGTCTGCCGGCATCGTTTAGTTAATCGTTTATCTGTATGTCACGGCTCTTTTACTCGCTCGCTAAAGCATTTATTGCCATAAAATTTGGAGTGGAAACGTAAATTGTCGACTTAAAAACAGATAACAGCGTGTCCGACACGCTTTTATCTTGCTATTGATTGTTTCTGTACTTTGTTTATGTTTGCAACAAAGTTTTTGTACTGAATGCTCACAGTAAGGGCGCGTTCCCATTAGATCGCAACGTTTTATTTATCGTTAGATGACTGTCGCGTCTAGCATATTCCCATATCACGACTATCTGTCGTGACTGTGTTCTGGACGTTTATTTTATCATTAAACAACTGTCGTGTCTAGCTGTTCCCACTAGAACGTGACGACAATTTATTGGTTGACGGCAGCCGCCTTGTCGTTTGCACGATAGAATCGTTTGAATTTGCGATTATCTGTCGCCACATTTTTATCGTGACGTTTTATTTATCGTTTAGCGACTGTCGTTCTAGCTCTTCCCATTGTCACGACAGTCTGTCATCGTAACGACAAAAAAGTCGTGAAGGACAGTTAATCGTGTTGTACTATATGTGAACAAGACACGACACTTTAAACTGCACGACATCTGTCGTCATGACGTAATGGAAATGCGCTCTTAGCATCAAGGTTTGCTATGTTTTCTACATTAAAAAAAATTGTTACTAAAACTTAAAATAAATTATTACGAGTTGTGACATGCTCGTAAAGAAGAAGTTATGAAATCTTTGATAGGGCAATGTTTTCACCCTCCATTTCTCTGAACGGTTACAGGCACACCAGTCAATAAACAGCTAGTTCTGCGCTTTATAGAACCCATTACGTCATGTGTTGTTTATGAGCTTGTTGAAAATAGGACTAAATATACCAACTATTATGTTAGATTGAGTGGTAACAAATGGAAAAAGGAGGAGGTTCTCCATTTGACTGCATTTTTTTTGTGTTTATGTTATTTCGATGATTCTTTTTTTTATAGTTTCAAGTGACGGGACGAACAAGTCGTGTGTCTGGTGGTAAGCGACACGCCTGTTCCTAACAGTTGCAGAACACTCAGAGCTTTAAATTACAAAGATCTGAAAGGCACTGCCACTGCGCCCGTTACCCTGAGACATTAGTTGAAACTCTACGAAACTGGAATGCAGTAATATTCACATTACTGCTTGGCGGCAGAAATAGGTAAAGTGGCAGTACTTCATTGGACGAACTCTTTCATAAGGAGTTCTACTGCTACTTCTTTTGTTGGAATGAGGGTACCTTAGTAGTGATGCCATTCAAATTTGTAGAAAATATTCCACATCTAAGAGTAGCAAATTAGACGTGAATCCAGTTTTGTATTACACCCACTTTCCTTTAACCGATTGCAATAAAACTTGGCAAATATATGTAATTCCACTAACTTCTGAGGTCATTTTTTTATAACAAAGTTACAATTCTTGAAAGTAACTTTGCCGACACACGGTAAAAAACCAAACCTGCGTGTTAAAAATTTCTGCTCCATCGATCGCCTTCAAAAATGAAATAAAACATTAAAATGTTTGTGTCCTATCTTATTTTAGTATTTATTTTTGCTTCAGGCATACTACCGTGAAATGAAGGTTTAGAAATTGCTCTTTAACAGCTTTTTAACACAAAAATTGCACATTTTATAATTTTAGTTTACATTTTCTTTTGAAAGGGGTTTACGATATGGAGAGAGCATTATGGTCTAATGCACATTTAGCTCGATATAAATTCTTTGTTGTAGACATATTACGAAACGGTGGAACCGTTGTCAGTGTTACATGTTCCAGGAATTATAATTAGGCAAGTTCTGTGCTTCATTAATTTTAATATTCTATGTTTAACTCACATCATCAATCCATTTATATGTTCCACTACTGGGCACGGGCGTCCTCTCAGTCGAGGGTATTTAGGCCAAAGTCCGCCACCCTTGACCGGTGCGGTCGGGGACTTCACACGTTTTGCGAGGATTGTGAACCTTCTTTGACGTGCAGGTTTCTTCACTTAAAAACTCCTGATAAATTTCACATATATTGAAATTTTCATTTGCACTTAAATTTCGAGAAACTCAGAGATGCGAGCCCGGATTCGAACCCACTGCTTCTAGTTGAGAGGCGGTAGGTAAAACTTTTAGGCTACCACGGCTTATTACTATGTTTAAGTACTTGTTGCATTATATTTTAGTGTGTAATCACAACTACCACGGTATATTTCAAACCACTAGGTATTTATGAGTAGTTTTGGCATGTGCAAATTTTTAAACAGCTCAATAACGTCTACTACTCACAACATAAAGATTTATGTCAAAAGTCCAGCGATCGTGCATCCACTAGTAAACATTAAACAACATCGCTCCATCAAAAGCAAACACATCTAAAAGGGCTTAGTTTGCACAGGTGTATGGTGTATTGTACAGATACATATGGTGGGGTCCAATGAGAGTTCTTATAAGAGCTGTGCGCTATCGACTGCCACCGGGATAGATCGCGAGCCACTGTTGCAACCATGTGGGTAAGTTTACATGTTCAGTCTTCCCGTAGCATATCGAGGTAATAGCGATATTCGAGTAAATCAGATATTTTGCGGGTTCGTTAATCAAAAACCAAATCCTAAGATATTATAAGTGTAGGTACAGAGTTACACGGATAAGTTTAATTATCCGTGAAATTCATTGGCATAATCCGTAATGTTGAATATTTTTAAATAAGTACGAGAAATGCCGTTTCTACTAATAAATGTTTGTGTTAAATACACGTCTACAATTGAATTCAATCAACAAATATTATTAAAATATAACATTTTAGTTATCATTATTTATTATAAACACTATTGTAAATAATCATGGTTGCTATGAAATCAATGGATGATTTCCTACGTTTTTTTTGTGGTTCCCAGAAGCTGTTATTTTTGGCATGCATAGGCTCTGCGGCTGCGCTGCCTCAGTACGCGCTACCGAGCCTCATTGCGCACGCGCCGGTTGTGCATGCACCCATCGTACGCGCTGAGCCTGTGGTGAGTATTACGTTAAGTATTTTATTGAAACTATTACTTTTATCGATGTTTTCAGTATTTTTTTATAATTGAAGGCGTGCTAGCTATCATTTGCAGGCCATCCTGTAGTAGCACGCGTCACTTAATAGTTTCGTATAATAATAATTCGTATTTAGTATAAAGTTTTAGATCCGAACTGGGTATGTAATGATATCGTTTTTGTTGTAATGGTATCGTCCTTTCACAGGCGTATCCGCGTTATGCGTTTAACTACGGTGTAAAGGACCCGCACACAGGTGACATCAAATCCCAGCAAGAGGAGAGAGATGGTGATGTTGTCAAAGGTAAGACACGTATAGTCCACAATTAGTTCATGAAAGAAATATTAGCTGCTTTAATTGGATAAATTTTTGTGGGGAGAATAACCTGAGTATGCGTAAATGTTGTAGGCTAGTTAATTGTAAGGTACGATAAATTTTTTAAATAAAATGCTCAAGGTTTACTAGCAGTAGAGCTCCTTGTGAAAGAGTTCGTAAAAAAAATACTGCCACCTTACTTATATCTGCCACCAAGCAGTAATGTGAACATTACTGTGTTCCGGTTTTGAAGACTTATGGTGAAATTACAGGCACACGAGATTTTTCAACTTATGTGACAGACGCAGTGGCAGTCCCTTAGACCTTTGGGATGTAATTGTTATGAACAGGCATGCCGTTTAACATCAGGCACACGACTTGTTCGTCCCATCACTTCGTCATAGAAAAAACTAAGTTTAATTGTCTGTTAAATTGTCTACAGGCAGTTATTCACTGGTAGAACCGGATGGTTCAACAAGAACAGTATCATATGCGGCAGACGACCACAATGGATTTAATGCAGTAGTGCATAAAACAGGCCATGCTGTACATCCAGTAAGTAACGTAAAATTGTTTCATTACATAATTTTCGTATGCTGACCAGTGACAGTAGTTCTTTTGACAGTCCTTTTAAAGGCGCCACGGATACTGTGGCTTTGCGATTTTGTAGTTGTTTTTCGGCACTGCGCGGTACCGTCTTTAGTTCTGGTAGAGAAACTACAGAGACAAAAAGTCCCTATAACACCTTTAAAATAACTGCCAAATTGACTACTGAAACCAATTCCCATAAAAAGCAATTGTCTTCGAAATACCGGAATTCTAAGGACTCGCAATGTAAACATGTAGAGATGGTGGCTCGAGACAAATACAACACAACTTGATAGATATATGCACAGTATACTTCAGTCACATATTCGAGTGACTTAATATTTAAATTACATCAGCAGTGTTCCAGAGATTCTATAAGTATCGAATTCTGTAAATCAATATTTTTATGAAGAAATACTCGGAAATTTAAAATTAAATTTTACATTTCGAAATCACTATTAAATTCCATTAAATCAATAATTAATTACAAGTATTTAGTTTCATTACGTATAACATATATCTCTAACAAGTTGACTGTATGTCCCATTAAATATAATAGACATGTATATGTTTAGAGCAAGTACCTTAGAATATTACACAAACTCGATTTCTCGTAGATTGCCAGTCGCTTGCGCAAAATTCTAATGGCGCATAGGCTTATAAGGAAACAGGCTAGCCCGTGAATCTTGGCCAACATATTATACCAAATTTTGCCAATATGGCCCTTAAAGGTTCCTAAGAAATATTCCTAGGTATTTTTTTTAACGTTTGTTAATTGATAAGGTCCGCCTTGACCTAGTTCTTTAGTTATTTTGGTATGATCAATCTTTATGGTTTTTTTAAAGGTTTAAGGCGTTTGTTAGCCCTTTCGGATTAGTTGATATTAACGGATTTTAAAGTATTTATGTGACTAATAAGTAGGTTAATTTTCATTTGTATTTCATTTAAATTTGACGACATTTGTTTCAACGTTTTGAAATAAACAGAGATAAGATGGCAAACAAACATCTCAACAAAAGCTTTTTTATAAGTTGCGTATCGGACTTTATCTAGTAACGTTTTATCCAAGAATATTGAAAACATTTTGAACTTTTTACGAGAGATGAACCTTTGATGCCTTCCAAGCAGGAAAATGAAACTTTAGTAAACTTTAATAAATTCTAGTAGCAATAGAACTTCTTGTGTTAGAGTTCGTCCAGGGAAGTACAGCCACCTTACCTATTTCTACCGTCAAGCAGTAATGTGAGCATTACTTCGTTACGGTTTAGAATATAAGTGCTGGTGAAATTACAGGCACATGGAACTTGTGAACTTAAGTCTCAGGGTAACGAGCGCAGTGGCAGTGTCCCTTAGATCTTTGTCAATTAGAGCTCTGATTTGCAATTGTTGTGGTTAGACGTGTCGCTTAGCACCAGGTGCATGGCTTGTTGATCCCGTCTCTTGGTATTAAAAAAAACCCAATACTTGTTTTATTGGCTCCCTAACATATAACGGGATCAATAGCTGCCTTATTGAGTCAGTTATTTCTTCAAAGTCTTCTTTTGATATTTCAATCATGTTTTTTGGAAGAACGTTTGTAATTTAGGAAACAGTACTTCGTAACCTGTCTGTATAGATAGAAAGTACCTATATAAAATCTATATTCTAACAATAATAACAATGGTAAAATGCCACGGTTTAGTGGCGGCCTTGAGCTCTACGCTTTTGACGGAGAAATTATCACGGTTCACTGGTAACTGGTAGTCGTAAAAAGTAATTTATCAGTTTCATAACTAATATTTACAATATTGTAAGATTGAACAAAATGCAATCTTGATTTAGAAACGACTGCAAAAATGCAACTCTACGTATGTATTTGGGGAAACAAAAGAGAAAAACTCGTGATAGTACTTATAACGAGCCCTCTGTGGTATTGACGCCGCTTCTTTGCTGATTTGACTAATGTCATTCGACTCATCATTATGTCGGTTGATTTAATACGAAAGTAACACGGATTTGACTGCGTTTTGACTTACTGCGCCAGTTTTACACATAATACTAGTATATTCAGTATAGAAATTGTTAAAAAACCGTTTAAACGTACACCGTTCGGATTTTGGAATTTCCGCACGTGTGCGATTGTGTTTGATAAAGCTGGTAATTAGGTCAACGACCTGGTATTAACAAAATATAGGTTTATGTTTGTATCGTTCTCATAATAAATACCATACAGATTTTCAGTGTTACTTATTTGACTATTTAACCATATAATGGTGACTTTTACAGGCTGCTGTAGCGCCGGCTCACTACGCACCTGCTCTCATAGCAGTATCACCATACTTTCATTAAAGCTTTAAGAATTACGTTAATCTATTCGATTTACAAGAGTAAGAAAATATAAAGGCGTGTTCCTGAATAGTTGCTCCAGAAAAATGTAGCTTAGTATGAAGTGGAAGATTATTTGTATTTCTTTATTACTTAGTTGAAATAAGGAGTTTATTATGGCAATACTCTGTGCTATTTAATAATATGTGTAATGTAATGTATTTTTAATGTTAGTGAAGAATATTTATGTGGCGGACAGGGTTACAAAATTAAAAGAGCGATTGTATAAGAAAGCTTTTCGAAAAAGTAGTCATTCTAACATAAAAGTGCCTAATGACGAATTTTGTTTGCTATAAATCATATTCTTTGAGCTTTTAATTATGTGCTTAGTTTTTTATTGTAGTTTCTTGTGCTCTGAATAGCGGACAAAATTTGGCTTTGGAAGAATGAGAATTCTTTTGAAAAAATATTTCGTTCTATTGGACAGAAGTTCACATAGAATGGTCGTTGAATATAATTTAGTGCAGGATAATTTTTAGAATTTTTTATGACTTCAATTCTGCATGTATTTTAAATACTTTGATGACTTGATCAGTTTTTTGTGCGAGTTAAAGTTGTCGTTTCATCTATATTTGAGTACCAATCGAAGTACAACTATATTTTATGTTAACTCTTATTCCTGTATGACTTTTACCTGATTTAAGTATTTATGTTTATTGTATATTTTTTAATGCTGATTTATGAAATTTTCGTTCTTATTTCTTATCATTTCTTTATTTTGTTATTAATTATTACACTTTTGAATATTTTTTCAGTTGTTAATTGTAATGATTTTGGATATTAATTAAATATTTTAGAATTATGACATCTTTCCTATGTATATGCAATTAAGATTCTACTTCAATTAAAAACAATTTCCTCTTTTGAGTGTTTATTATAGTCGGATAAAGATGACCGATAATTATCGAATAATAAACGGTATTAAATTTGAAGCACCAAATCGACTGGTGGTAGGATTTGTTGCGTAGAATTCACGTTTTCAGTTGGATTTTGGATTGTTCTTATCGCAAGTGCCACGGATATGAATTTCACGTAACGTGCTCTTGACCCTGTTACATCCTCCCACCAATTTGACGACCTCAGCAGTTGAGTGACTTGCACACCTGTTTTAATGGTATCGCCATCTTTGTGTTCGAATCCCGGCTGGGTCAACATAGAAACTAACTTTTCTATATCGTCTCAGGTCTTCGTGTTTTGTGGTTACTTACATCATCAGGATCACAGCAACAATGATGTTGTCTAACACAAGTTGATATGGTCTAATACAATTTCAGAAGAGTCTTATAACAGAAACTCGAGGTCTTATATCCCACGCCAATAACACAATTATGATATAGCGTACGTCTACAGACAGGGTTCAACTTTGCATTATGTGGATCGCCTGATATTTTGCCATGAAAAAGAAAATACGACCTGGATATTCCTTGTTTTATTCACCAAGATACGTTTATAAATCGAGATATCAATGCTAAAGAAAAAAAATTACACCAATATAAAAACGACTCACCTCAGCAGGACTTAATAGAATACAAGACGTTACGCTGTGATTTATATATCATTTACGTATATGTTTATCATGTATCTACTATACCACTAAAATACCAAGTAAAGGTCTGTATTTTGTTTCAACCTTATACCACTAGCTTAGAGATGGGAAACTAGTGAATCAAGATCACAATATAGTTGTGAACCCGTCGGGGCTATAGCACATTTTGACAAATGACAGGATATAAACTAGATTGCCTTTATTTACTGCTTCGGTAAATGGCCTATTGGGAGATATAGAAATGGTTAAGCATATGAGAACATGAATGTAAAGTATACGGCTCAATTTATTGATCGTTTAGGTGTCCATTACTTTTTTATATTTGTATATGGTTAAAGTGATGTAAATGTAAAAGTATGCCGAAGCTTACGAATATGGACTTCATCATCATGTGAACATAGAGACTATACAGCTACTAGAGAATACAAATATAGTGGTACACTACAGAGAACTAAACCTTTTGAGTTAGTGTAGTTAAATTATAGTGAATAAAATAAATATTACTGCCAGTGTTAGACTATGAACACACGAAGAAATTGTTCCTCTTAACTAATATTAAAAGATATTTTGTCGACGGATAATTTCTTTATATAAGTTACTTTTATTTTAGGAAATTACGTTAAATTAAAATAACTCTATAGTCAACAGTGACCATGGAACGTGTAAATCGCCAGAAACGTTACTTTGTTTGAAAAAACAAATATACGCGATTCAAATCCGAAAAATAGATTTCATTTCCTATGTGTAACAATCACGAAAACCTAAGAACTCGATAGCTCATTAGTCTTGTAAAAATTCTAGATTGTAATTAGTTATAAAGTTTTGTTTTGCTAAAGCAAAGATTGTTGTAAATAACAAAAAACCTTATATTCTTCGTAACGTACTTGTATATATTTATAGTTCAGTACACTTTTGTATAAATTATTTATATATAATCTATATAGATCGCACAAACGCAAAGAAAATATTTGTTGATCCGACTGGACTCGAACAAGTGTGTGTTACTTCACTGTGGCTATAACTAAGTATTCTAGACTATATCTGTCTTAGAACGTTCATAAAGCTCTTTGAAAATCGTGTTAACTTCTCTCCAGTCTGTACTGGGAAGCGGATTCTGATTTCGTCCTTTCCCTTTCCCTTTCTGTACCCAGCTGTCGGACGTATAATGCTGATGATCGTTTAGAAATCCTGAACTTCATGAAAAATTTCTTATAAAACCGATACATACAATGTAAATAACGTACTGGTGAAACAATAAAAAAGATTTAAGAGTCGTTGCAACCTTAAATAGCTTTGGTTGATTTGCATAACTGTGAAGTTGTTAAAGCAATCACTTTGGAAAATAATATGTAGTAAAATTGAGGACAACATATTGATTAGTATACGATGTGAAAACACGATTCTTAAAAATTTTCATGATAGAAAAAAAAAACACAACCTGAGTTACTATGGCGTAAAGCCTGGTAAATGCTAACTCTCACCTATGGCGAATTAACTGACTATTTAGATTTATGTAACGCTTTTCTACTTTTCCTTGTATTTTTTTGTGCTTTAGTCTTGTAAGGACATCTTTTATTGTAATAATACATTCTTTTTTAAAACGTCCTTTTCCGCCGTCATTACATAAGAACAGACTTCGAAATTTTACAAGAAAATCGCTGTATTCAATTCGGTACCCACTTTACGTAAACCAATGATTTCTTTTATATCAAGTGATCTAAATAGAACACGTTCGGGATATGATTTACATTTCTCAAATAGCTTTAATTTCGTTTGTATAAAAATAAATTGTGAAATAAAAACTGTGTCCCCGCCACTCGATCTAAACAAAATGAACTGCATTAGTACGGGAAAAAAATTAATTCCAGCAGAGGTAATATCGACTCTTAATGTTGTTTACAAGGTTAAAGTTTAACGACTTCAAAATTGTAAGTTCATATATTGATATATAAGTTCTATGCTATTATCATGACTTTAAGTGCTATAATAAATCCCTTATACGGCTAAGGAAACGGTGCTCATATAAACTCCGTTATAAAGCCATTTTACTACTAACCTACGCATCGACTAAAACAAGTATTGCAATGAAACTGTCGTTCTAAGTGCAATATCAAGTCAATTTGAATTTGTTGTTTAACTAATACTAAATTAGTGTTAGTTCAGATGGTACATTGCGGTCTTGTTTTCATTTAAAATTTTTAGACTCATTGTTTTCTAGAGAAATATATGGCTTATTTAAAGCAAAAATACATTTATGCAAAATTTTAAAACGAAAAATGGTTAATGTAATGTACCTACTCAAATATATTTTAGCATATACATATATTATTGTAGCAGTAGAGCTCCTTGTGAAAGAGTTCGTCAAGGGAAGTACTGCCACCTTACCTATTTCTGCTGCCAAGGAGTAATGTCAGCATTAGTGTGTTCCGATTTTGAAAGGCAAGGGTGCTGGAGAAATTACAGGCTCATGAGACTTGACAACTTATGTCTCAGGGTAACGCGCGCAGTGAAAGTGCCTTCAGATCTTTGCGATTTAAGCTCTGAGTGGCACTGCAATTGTTATGGACAGGCATGTAGTTTACCATCAAGCGCACGACTCGTTCGTCTCGTCACTCGTGGATTTATTAAAAAATAACAGAAATATATATTTTACTCTACAGCAAATGAAATCAATGTCTGTCCATATTGAAAAAAATGTTAGTAGAAGACATTAATGGAGACTGTGACCCTAAGAACACAGCATCGTCGTGAATTTATTTTGTTCCTAAAAATTAACTGTCTAGCTTGATGTGCTGGTGTGTGTACGTTTCGCGATAACGATTTGCGAAAAGATTTTGGTGTTTCTCTTTTTGTTGGAAAGAGGATATCTCAGTATTAAATTTGGAGAAAATATTCCACCTCTAAGGGTAGCAAACTAGGGGATGAATTCGGTTTCGCGCACTGTCCGCTAAACGGTTTCAGTAAAATTTGGCAAATACATATATCTACGAACTTTTGAAGTCAGTTTTTTAGTACTCTGTACTGAGATTATGAACGTATATTCTGATGGTTCGATTTTTTTTATAATATTAAGTGACGGGACGAACAAGTCGTGCGCCTGATGGTAAGCCACACGCCTGTCCATAACAGTTGCAGTGCAACTCAGTGCTTTATATCGCAAAGATCTGAGGGGCACTGCCTATGCACCTGTCACCCTGAGATATGAGTTGACAAATCCCATGTGCCTGTAATTTCACCAGCACCCTTAGCCTTCAAAACCGGAACGCAGTATTGCTCACATTACTGCCTGGCGGCAGAAATAGGTAAGGCAATACTTCACTAGATGAACTAATTGATAAATTATAAAATGGATTTAAAAAATCCATAGAATTAATTTATTTTCGACTAGTATGTACATAGCAACTCGCATGTTCTATTGGGCTCACAAAATTCTTCGAATATTGGACTAGCGTAATAGCAATGACCTGATATTCGCTGGCTCATAAATGGTTCGACATATTCGTTTATGTACTGTTGAACCAATATCAAATTTGAAATATGGGTCGTGGTAAATAATTTTAACAAATTCCGTTTTCATTCGTAAAGAACCGTCATTAAATTGAAACGTGGGTAGAAAATTCGTCGTCGGCGCTTTATTGCTTGGAAGTTTGTCGAAATACAGTAAAATGCCTTCGAAGAATATATTTTATGGAATTATTTGTATTTATTATGCCAGTATTTCTTTTTTAAATGATATTTAATTTTGGGACGAGCAAGCTATCCCACAGGTTGCAGTAACCATCAGGTTGTTGGTAAGCGACACGGCACTATTTAGAACTTGAAATGCTGACTCCGCTACGATATGGCGAGATCGCTTGTTCCCTGGACGAACCGTTCACAAGGAGCGCTACTGCTACTAAATTGTGAATACTTAGTCGCAATCAGTGACTTAAATTCGATATTAAAATTGTAGTAGCAGTAGATACGTGTACCACATTTTCATACACGCTATAGTACAATTTTGAAAAATTGTGTATTACGTAATAAGTGTACTACAACCTTAAAAAATCGGAATCGACGGTGTTTTGTTTTGGAAAAGACATAAAAAAGTCGTCAAACGCTGTGAATTTGCTCCTTTGCCATAGCGGTGGTGTCGTTATTATATTTAAGAGTATTTTATTTAGGATTGCTTGTTACATTCTAAATTCTCCACCTACCTACGTTTTAGAGTCCATTATTTTAACAAAATATGCGTTCGTATTTAGCTAAAGTTATAAATGTAACTGAGTACGTATAGAATTATGAATTTAATGTCTGTCTGTTCTATTAGAGCATTGTAAAAACGCTCATTAACTTCTTTATAATCAAACATTATTCCACCTACACTTTATAAACAGTTTCTGATCCTCAAATAGTTTCCTCTTTAATATTCCTTTTCGAATTTCTAAACGTTACTAAAGGAAAGCAAACCGTTAGTCAATATACAGCACCATAAATATGTGTGAAAAATATCTAACTCCCTTATCTGTACTTTCTCCATACATCATACGCTTCGTTATCCTGCCAGTTAATGGCATGACATCAGTGCTGGACGGATATGGGCGAAATTGCCCTCACCCACTATGGTTAGCACAGAGCCGGTTTTAGGGCGTATATGTATGTGCTAAATAGTCAATGTAGAGCACGCGTTTAGACTGTCTGAGTATGCTCTCGTGTTCGCATTATGCATTATTGATTCCTAAATTGACTTGCAATAGTTACGTTAATATATTTAAGTAAATTGGTGTTTTTAGTGAGTTCAATAAGCATTATTCATCATCAGTTAAAACATAACCGTAACGGAAAAAAATGGTTAAAAATACTTTCTACGTTGCTACGTAGTAGAGTCCCTTGTGAAAGAGTTCGTCCAATGCGGTACTGCCTTGCCTATTTCTGCCGCCAAACAGTAATGTGAATGCTCACATTATTTGCCATTCAAAACGGGAACGCAGTAATGCTACTGCGTTCCCGTTTTGAATGGCAAGAGTGCTGGTGAAGTTACAGGCACTTGGGACATGTCTACTTATGTCTCAGTGCCTCTTAGATCTTTGTGATAAAAAGCTCTGAGTGGCACTGCAACTGCTATGAACGGGCGTGTTGCTTAGCACCAGACACACGACAAAAAACACTTGGAGGTTCGCAGCTCCAAGGTATCACTATCCGGAATATTAAATAACAAATTTAAGTAGTACACAATATTAGAATACGGCTCTGTACATGTGTGTGTTGTTTTTTACTGACTAAATTAACTAAAAAGAGTTGGTTGTAAAAGACGTTTTCCATGTGGCCAACGGCCGTTTGACCGTCAACACTTCCGTTCGGAATTTTGCGAAGAAAGTTTGTGTTTTGTGCTCGCAATAATGTTCAGAGTCCACATATTGGAATTTTTGATGGTAAGAACTAAATATTCAATCAGATTAAAAGTTGTGTAACATTGACGATTTGTGTGAACTAAGAAATGCAATCTTAACAAATGTTTTTCTTGCTATCGTAGTTTTTCTAGGCGTTGCAAAAATGAGAGATTATTCTGCAAATTTTTGAAAGTCCGTTTTGTTGTTTTACACCAATTTTAAGCTGGTGTATAGATATAATATAAAAGTACCTAGAAAAAACCTAGAGCAAAAGGAGTAGTCCTTGTATTTTTTTGTATTAGATTTTCTTCTTTATTATATGTTTATTGGCCTTTTTTATTAGTAAGTAACTATGATAAATAAATAATAACATTTGCTACCAAATTCAATCTATTTCAAGGAAGTAGGGTGCTCATAAAATTAATGAATAATAATATTTTTTTACGCTAGCGAAAATAACCTTTTGTTGTCTTAGGTTACTTATAAATGAATCAAAAAATGTGATCACTGTTCTTAAATAATGCCTTCATTACGCACTTCTTGTGTCGCGACTTGACAAATGTGGCCATTAGTCAAAATGACGTTAATTTGTATAAAAAGTGGGCAGTAATTAATACCAATACCTTTTTTTGGTGTATATACTCGTAGTGTATATGTAGAGTCAGCGGCAAAGGTAGCTAAATATCTATACTTTCATATCTTAATATTCGGAAAGTAATACAAAAAGAAAAATCGGTAAATAAATATACTAAAATTCATCGCATTTGTGATTGTACTCGTAAACTTAGTATATGAAGTCTATGGTTGTACCTACTCACTTACTATTATTTGTGTAAAGTAAATCTCTAGATTAATCACCTTTTGATGTAATCGTACATACGAGCGGTGTTTTTGGAATATATATAGTTTCATGATTAACATGTAGAGTCGTCTCAAATTGGCACAGTTCAACGTCAGTTGAAGTAGAAATTTATTGTATGCTTGTAGTACTTGGAATAAACATACTCGTTTAGAAATACTGGGGGCGTATTATGATCTTTTAAAAAACCATGCAAGTTCTAAAAAACAATGCAAAACTGACTGAATAAAATTCGTATAACGACTTTTATTCGTATACATATTTTTCGCCGATTTCTCGCTGGTTATTTTGTCGATGACTGGGACTTGACTACCTCGTGCTTTTTAGTGTAACGTTCAAAAACATGGATGAATATTTACCGATAAGTTACGGTGTTATATTTGTCATTTAGTTTAAGAGAAAAATAATAGATACGTATTATTCATGTACGAAAATAAATAAAGACACTATATATAATAATAAAGACACTATATAATAAAATCAATACCTATATTTTAACTTTTGTAAGGAAAAGAGCAAATTAAGTTTTCGAACGACGTCAAACGTCGATGAAATTCCGCGGGTAAATTTTTAGTAGTTTGTTGAAAACATATCAATAATATTTTAAGAATATTTGAGTCTAAATTAAATTGTACGAAATTATACTTGGCTTTAGTCAAAAAATAACCTTAGTCTCAACCAATAAATCGGTGATTTTGTAGGCCTCGACATGTGTGGTTTAAGTTCATCGCAAAGATTGTGGATCATATTATTATCTTTGCTAAGCCGGTGTCTTTTCATAAATTGCTGTGCAACCATTTCAAACGGATCACTACGATTTCGTAGTTGGTCCATAGAGTTTTTCCATATTATTATCGTGTGAAGCATCACTTTCGAGTTACTCAAACATTTCGTATTCATCGCACATGATTAAGCGATCGCCTAAAAATATATAAACTCAAAATTATAATAATTATTACACAATTATGCACAAAACAATTCAATAAAAGCTACATCAAGACAATGTAGGAATGGTTTATTACTGTTACTTTTTGACAGATGCCAGTTCATAATATGAAAGTTTACGGCGTAAACTGCGTGGAAATAAGAGTTCATAATAGGCCACCTGAAGAGAAAATAGTGCGTGGCCAGAGTTCAGAACAATGTTTCTGTTCAAACTGTACTGTACTGTTTCTACAAATATTATCTGCCAAAATTTGTTACAATATTTTTTCTACTACAAAAGAAACTAAACTAAAACAACCGATAGCTGCCGACCTCACCGAAAGCACAAAATACTAACGTACGTAACACTCAATACAAGGGAGTAGGGACCTTTGAACATTTTTTATATATCTGGTTGTAAAATCCTAAATCATTATTATTTATTTGTTTTGTTTGCTGCAGTAGTTAATCCTATTATTTGGCTATAATCATTCTTAATAAGTTAATAATCATAATCAAAAAGTTTATAATACTCTCAGAATTCCCATTTTTGTAAAAGAACGGGTATTTTTGAGAACGTTTGTTTACTTTTCGACGTTGAAACTAAACACGAACTCTAATTCAGTTTTTGGCGCGCGCACACTGATCGGTGCCACCTTTTTTTCATCCTATAAACAATTCCTACTCCATTTTCACTCAAACTGACTGTAAACGTATTTGTTCTAAGCTGCGCCTGTTCAAAGTTGTCTCCTTCTCCCCTACATATTTGACATTTGTAAATTTGTTCGTAAAAATCAAGATTTCTACACCTTCAAAACATCCCACCAAAGCATGTATTACGACATAAAATTAGATAAATTCTGTCTAATTCCTCTTGCCCATATACGTCATGTCCACAAAAATTTATGGTAAATTGTCTGGAAATGAGCAAAATGACAAAATCTTAGAAAAAAAAACTAAAATATTTAGGAAATGAAACTATTTTTCCGGATTTAAATCGCGTATATTTTTTTTTTGTCAAAGGTTTTGTTTGATAGTTTCATTTCCTATGTGTAACAATCGCGAAAACCTAAGAACCCGATAACTAAAATATTTATTATTAATTTTTTTTATTACAATATCAATATCGTAAAACGGTCTCGACCAGCACGGAAGGTACAGAACAGTTTTGTTAATATACCGCAATATTGTGATAATGAATTATTTCGATTATTCAAAAACTCGTATAAAGTTAACCATTAAATTGTTACATTTTCTTAAATTGTTTTAGGTGTTATTGTGAACATTTATATGAAAATAAAATATTATTATTAATGAAATTTTGATCGAAAGCTTCTAACACAAAGCATTTCTTGAAAACAGCCGACTCTTACTCTCTTCCCTCATACTTAGTTGTGCCCGAAAGGGTCCATGATTGATTATTTTACTATAACACCATGTGTTTAATGATTGTGGAATGTAAATGTCGAATATTTAATTGAATTAAATAATCGTGCAACACTGAGCTGGAATATCAGAATATGTATACCGCAGGTCTTTTAGTATGATTTTATTTCCAGATACTATTCATTGTCAGCACTTGTCAAGCCAGAGTAATAAATGGATTAAGACAAGCCAAACTTAGCTTAACGGATCCGATGCCATATTATTATATTAATAATATCGACGGTAAGTGCTAAAGTTAAGTGTATTAATTGTTTTTTGTTTGTTAACCAGTAATTCAATTTAATTTTAATTGTCCGTGACTGTCGTTCTGTTGAGCAAAGGTGGCGTAATTTTCTTTCCGTAATATTGTCGTAAGTAGTCTTCAATTATGTTTAAGAATTCGAGCTCATTTTTTCATCTCTTCTGACTCTTTTTTATTTCCTTTTGTTTTGATAACCAGTTGGTAACGAAATTGTCCACAGGTCTCGTCTTGCACAAGCGATCCACCTGTTCCCACTTTAAGAACTTTTTCGAAGGCTCATCCTTTTTACCTAGATAATCGCATGAGGTCTATGAGTTTATAGTTTGCGAGTGGTATTGTGTATTTGATATAAATTTTTCCTCAGTTCATTTTCAGACACCGGCCTTATTTATCGTCTTCGATGTTTTCTTATTTTAACCGTTTGTGTTGTTTATATGTTTAGGTCACCCAGGCACATATTCGTTCGGCTATGACATATCTGACCCATCGACTGGTAATACACAGTTTCGCACAGAAGAGCGCTACCCAAACGGTACGGTTGCGGGGAGCTACGGTTACGTCGACGCGTGGGGGACACCACAGAGGTATCGGTACATTGCCGATGCAAGAGGATATAGGTATATATGAATATCATCACGTTTTTACTGCTATCTTCTATTTATTGTACCGCCAGGCTTACAGGAAAGGAATAGTTTGTCGTACGGGGAGTCTCCTTTCGTGCACTCCATTTACTACCGTGATATCTATATATTTTTTCGTTGAAGTACTCCACTACATTGTTATTAAATTGATACAGAAATCCAACAAACACAAACAAAAATTCCATTTTGGTCTGCCAGAGGTCTCGGGTTCGATTCCCGGGCCGGGAGAAACATTTGTATGGCTTATATTTATTTTTCTTGTGAGTTTGATTGTAATTTGTGGTTGTCTTTGTGTGTGTCCATGGCACTCGCGAGACAGGGTTTCCCTAGTGCAGGGTGCTCGCGATTTTATCTTGGCTCCCTTCTTAAGTCATGGTTCATTATTTAAAGTTCGAATGAATTCGAATTCGAGATTGGGATATTGTACAATCTTCAAAATATTTTCTCCGATATTTAAATTTACATACTACATAAAGTAAGAGTATGATCTCTTATGTTATGTGTATCTAGAACTGTATACTATTTAGTATGTGTTTCGGAAAGCCTCAATGTAATGCAATTAGTGCCTGGAACTCGACCTTGGACTCTTCTATAAGGAAGGCAAAAGTTTTATAGATAATAAATATTTATAGTGTGCCAACCCCATCTAGTGCGCCCGAAGCGTATTCGAAAGCGTCCTACCCGATATCGCGACGACCACCCATCCTCGAGGAAGTAGATTAGTCTTTGCGAATGTAAATGGCGCTTCTCGCCATCGACTCTGTTTTGCCAAAATATCACTTTTTCATGACGAAATATGGTAATAAAAAAAGGACTTCCGGTATCTTCCGTTTTATGCGTGATTACCGGCCCGCACCCCCCGCGCGCTCCAGTTAGTATCCAAGAGTCCGCGTTCACACTGTTAACACTGGTTCAAGTTAGAAGAAGTCTTGTGCGCGCGTCTTTTCTACTGTAATTTTGTATTAGTTCTTGTTATAAGTATTAACTTACGTCGTAGTATCTGTGTAATATCTCTGTGCCCCGTTTATTTATATGTAATAAATACCTATAGTGCTCTACTGACTAACTTACTTATTTAGCCTGGCCATATATTTTAATTATTAATACAAAGATCAACAACGAACACTAAGAAAATTTTCTTCGATATGGCTGCATTCGAAACAGCGCCTTCAGCATATTGTGCCCGACACTCACCCAATTGAGCTGCGGAACGAACCAGCAGATCTTACGAATTTTTTTACGTGCTTGTTGCAGATCTTTGTTTTTGGTTTGTAAAGATTTTTGCCGTAACGCCATCTGTGAGAAATCTATGATCCTTTACAGCTTCCAGCGGCTGACTAGAGATTTCGCTTTAATAATTGTAACAAATAAATCAAAATAAGAATTTGTTTTCAGAATAACAAAAGAACGACCATTCAAACCCTACATACCCCCATCAACGATAACTCAAATTCCGGTAGACTCCTCCATCACCTGGTCTCGACCGAAAATATCAAATAAGAAGCAAAACAACATTAACTCTATCACCAACGATATGAAGATGCCAGAACTAAATATTCTAAAAGATAAAGATAATTCTTTTCTTCTACCTCCTAGTTATTACGTTGAAGATTAAATATGTTAATTTTATCAAATAAAGAAAACAAAAATGTCAGTTCTATGTATAGCTGGCTGTTGGTATAGTTTTATTTTTTCCTCACTCCTCCATCTCACCTGATGGAAATTTATGATACGGTGTATCGTCGAACCCCTAAATATTGCCTATTTGCTCTCGCCTTGAAAAGGCCCAAGGTACAGCGTACAGCGTTCAGGAAATAAATTTGCAGTCAGGGAATTTCTTGAGAACGCTTTTCTACTGAACTTTTCGTCTACCAGTATGATTGCAATTAAAAAAATACAACTTAGTACAAACCAAAATTTCGAGTTTAATACAATTTTTAATTTCGTTTATTTTTTATTATCGATAAGTTTCTGGGAAAACTATTCATTCCAAAAATTTTCGCCTGCAAGTTTGCAGAATGGCGAAAAAATAAAAATAATAAAAAAAGACTGCTGCGTTTCATCTATGGACTCCCATGAGATGACAAAGCAATAAAATGTGACATATCGGAGATTTTTCAATATTTCGTCACAAAACGGAAAAATAGAATTATTTTTTGTTGTTTTTTTGTAAAAATGTTACGAAAGAGCGGAATCAGATTGCTGTTATTGTCATTTATCATCTGTGTTGCTGCCTGTACGTATTTAAAATTATACTTTGGTCACTATCACTGTTAAGCTCTCTAATCTCTGAAAAATATGTACTTTATACAATTATATTTGCCATTCTGGCTAAAAAAATATCAAAACCCTATTTTTTATTATTTCTGCTTTTCATAAAAAAAACCACTGGTGCCTTCGTGAAGTGTAATTAAGTAGGTACAAAACATGTAAAATTTTCATATACGTCGGTAGCTTTCTAGAATTGCCTATCTCAAAAACATCTAACATAGCTGAAACGTGGCTAATAAAGCTGAAACGTATCCGGCGTGCAAAGCTGCGAATCGTGTACCGGCCTAATGTAAAACTCAGTGCCTTATTTACAAGAATTTTAATTAGCAAATTTTGAATACAGCTGTATAATAAAAAATATAAATATTTTGTGTTTGGGCCAATTACTACCGACAAAGAGCGAATGTCGCTTAAATTATTTCAGTTGCGAGTATTTATCTATGGATTTGTTTTTAATCACTTTCGTACATAAATGCTATTGCATAGGTTTTTTATTAATCTATATATTTTTGACCTAGACTGTACCGTCAATGGTACCGAAGGCACTGCTTGTATTGCTAATATACTCGCTGTAAAAAGTACCAAGTACATTCGAGTTTAACTTCTAATTAACAGCACAGGTTTACTCGCGCATAGTGCTTCAGCTAGCTTTCCTCTACCATATAATAAGTGTACGAGTTATTCTCGATTGCCGCAAAAACAAAAATGGTTTATGATTCTGTCTTTAGGCTATCCAATTGCTGACAATGTGGCTACTGACACCGATACTGGTCTGCGTGATGAGAAAACATTTCCAAACGGAACTGTAATGGGGAAATACTCCTATACGGACAAAGAGGGCAATCCGATCCATGTCAAGTATTACGCTGATGATCAGGGTTATGGGTGAGTAAAAATCAAATTTTTGTGGCAACGAGGATCCACGCAGGGCTCGTTTTAAATTTGCTTGTTGTTTTTAGTTCTTTTTTTCCTAGGCACTGGTGTTATCTTCACTGTATTTGAGACCTGTGGTAGCCAGCGGTTGCCTTTCAATTGAGAGGTACACGGTTCAATTCCGTATGGATTAGGATTTAATTTCTAAACTACATGCCTATATCTGCGGACGTTTAGTTGTAATATCTCTCGCTAACGGTGAAGAAAAACATAGCGAAAGAATAAAAATTTTGATGTGATTTTGACTGTATTTGTCGATATTAAATACGATTTGGCCTGTTTAGGCCCCATTATATTTAATATCAATAATAAATTAGATGTTCTTTTACTATACCCTGATGGATGAAAATCCGATATAATTTATTTTGATTTAATTGATTTTGAAAGAGATTTTATGGTAACTAAACGTTAGGTCGTTGATACCGTTTTTATAACGGTATCAACGAACGGCTATCCCAAAATATTTAATAGGAGGTATGTGTTATAATGATTCATGTATAAATTTTTCAGAGTTGAACTCAAAAGTGTCAAGTTCATAAAGAATGATTTGAAGACTTCTTCACAGAATAAGCTAGAAAACCCTGAACAACTCCCGAAATTTGAGCCCACTGCAGAGATGTACAAGTATCCCAAATACTTAAAGAAAAGCGTATCTCGTCATCAAATTGACTCTTTGAATAAGGAGTCTCCGAAAAATCACTTGAAAAACAAGTACAAGGGCATTGATTACGAGATATATTTGCAGACCGTTATGCCTTCCCAGAATTGTGGTCACGATGAAAAGGTGAAAATTTACAATTTAGAAAAGGATGTTGATAAGAAAATTCGAAATGTTTTGAACGCAATTGAGGTCGAAAAAGAACCAGAGGACGATACCGGTATAGAGACACCAAAATTTTGTGAGCTATATTAATAAATATTATTTGTTATTTTTAAGTACTGCTTTCAAAATTATTCGAAATTAAGTTGTATTTAGGATAATTTTAGAATACTTACATATTTAATTAATTGATCTCGGAAATATAGGAAAACCTACGTTAGGATGTATCTTATAGAATTGTATCAACAATACAATATCTACTCATTAAAAAAAGAGGATGGTATAATGTAATTGTATGTTTATTCACTTTGTTTACGTTACTAATAAAAAAACTATATTACGTAATAGTTTTTTTTTATTTAGTCTAGAATATTAACAAGCACTAGGAAGTGGTTTTTTTTGTCGAGCAGTCTGTTGGCGGCGGGTCCGCGAAGAATTAGGCAGTCGCACCGCTGGTACATGTTGAGGGTAGTTTGCTGATCTCTAATGTGGACCGCCTCGCCGATGTAGCTATGACCAACCTTCTTATTGCTTTTGAGAAGTGTTATCTGTAAAAATCTTAAATTTTAGCTTCCTTTTTCCACAATATACTTGCCTTCATTGCACTGCACTTGCAATATATTTCTACATACTACATTGCATGGTTTTAGAGTTCAGTGCTGAAAAGTACGAACACTGGCTATTCCCTATCTACTGTTCGTAATTCCGATTGGTTGGACGAGAGGGGATGTTTTTTCCCATCGAGTATATAACCAGAACTAGAGACGAAATGTCATTTAATTCGTTTGAAAACTATTCTGCCAAATCATTACGGTGACAACTGCGCTTCGATTGGCCAACCCGACTTCAAACAATTGACGGATGTCGTCAATTGTTTCAATTCAAATCGACTCTTTGATATTTGAAAATTGAAAATTGAAAAATTACATATTAAATATTGAATTACCGATGAAATCTCATTCCGTTTGTTTTATAATTAGATGTTTTGTTGTTTTCCCACACCACCGAATGGCACAGCCGCCCCATAGTTAGAGATATTATCTTTATTACAATAAATATAGAATGTTTTTGGAAACGTACACACATGTCAATTGTTGACGCTGTACTATTTCAGCTTTCTCATTTGTGATTTTATTGCAAACGAGACTTGATTTATTTAAAAGTGATATAAGGCGCATTTGCCTGATGATTAACCAAGGATGAATGGCCCTTATTTCGTCTCTATTTCTGGTTATATACTCGATGTCATGTACTGACACAGACTCGATGTCATGTACAGACACGGTTTCGTGTCTGTGCGTATGTCAGACTGACTATAATATGTCAGTCTTCAAACTCGTGCTCATTTTTAAAATTTTTGAGTGGCAATTGTTCGCAATTATCCCTGTGTACTCTTGTCAGTAGTTAATTTCAAATTTGCCTGTGCACATCTGCAAAGCAATTTAATGATAATGTGTGATTAGGCCTGCGTGGGTACCACAGCCCAAGCTCTCTCATTAAGTCTTGTCACATGTTCAAGTAACGTTTATTTATACAATGAGATAAAATATAACGGGCTGCATTTCTAACTCTCAGTGCTTTCTGACTCGTCATATTATGTCCACAATAAGACCACGAAGTAAAAAAATACTATACTTTGACTCATACCTACTTTGACTCCATAGTTCATACTAAGTCAACGTTATGTAGTATCCTAGTCTGCGTCGCCATCTACAGATTATCACATGAACGCGGAGCCAGTGCTTAACAGATAAATAGCGCCAAAAAGAACCGCACTCAGCTTGTTGACTAGTGACTTTAGTAAGTTGACAACAGATGGCGTCGTGTGCGTGCCATTATATCTTGCTATTTTGTTGCTAGATATAATACAATAGGTATACAATATTTTAAGGTTATTTTTACGTTATTGAAAGTAGAATGTATTGTGTAATGGAACCATTTATTACTGATAGTACCTATAATTTTGTTCTGTAATCCATTCATGACTAAGTTTAATTTTTAAATAAAATTATAAATTTAAAATTACTGGTATTAGTAAACTCGTTTGATCTTATGATTGTATAATCCGAGTGTTTGTATGTTTGTATGTGTATTGTATCTTTACAAATGAATTTGATATGTAATCCTAACGGGGCTGCGAGATTTATTTGTTTAAATCCGCATGTTTAACAATACAAGGGCATCGTGCTATGACGTGGTGGCGCTGTTGTAGGGTACTACTTAGGGCACGCTGCAAAATTGTGCGGGTAGGGAAATAGTGTACCGCAAGGTAACCCTATCGTCCAGTAGCATATTGCGCGGAATCGTGTCGTTATGTGGGAATTTCACTTACACTATAAGTATTTGCATTATTTTCTAATTGACACAGCCATAGAAGAAGAAGTTCGTTGTTCTCGAATCTTTCTTTTGCGACCTGTTTATTGTCTATCTCCTGTGACGGATCATTTTTCTGAAAAATAAAAATTCTTAACTTATTTAGCGGGTTCTTAAAACACAAGGATTTGTTTTACTTGTTGTTATTCTTATGTTAGATGAAAAGAATCGGAAGAAACAACCTTAATAACCACGGAACTGCTCGTATAAGCAAGTTCTGTTGGGTCTTGCATTCTGGCACCCATGAGTAAAATTGCATTGCAGTCCGCGTATGTCTCGTTCAATACTACTGATTGCACATTGTTTGTAGGAAGTCCTCTAAAAGTATATATTTTACATTAATCATACTGACAGTTTCTGTAAGGGCGCATTCAAATTAGATGCTTGTAGCAGCGCTACAGTAGCGCGACTGTGGCGTGGCAGCCGCGCGCTATTAAGCCTTAGTAATTTTTAGTTCACTAATTGTGACTGATTAAGTGGCGTGAGCGTGTCACGACACAGTGGCTTCTAAATATTATACGAAAATTGGTAGTGGTGTGGCTGCAACGCCACAGTGACGCCACTGCAGCCCTTCTATAAGGGTCTAATTTGACGGCGCCCTAACAGTTATGAAAATGCTGTTTTTGATACCAAGAGTATTACAACACTGTTTGGCATACTACATTAATTCGTATATTACATTACGTATGTGTTTTCTTATATTGGTTTTAATGTCAGACAGATGATTATCGACAATTTCGTAATCCGGAAGTACTGATGAATGGAGTTTTATTAAATTCCCTCACGTATGGCCTTACGGTACCTGCATTGGCTCTCGGTAACCAGGTCTCCAGACTATTTTATCCACAAATCCACTGTCGTTCACTCTGTGAGGAGCAACTCTGTCTTCCTTATCATAACTAACGTAATCAACATTCGTAGCGAAATTGAGTTATTATTATATCTAGGATCAGCGACACGAGATCTACAACCCCCTATAAGCGGTTTTTTAATATCTGTATTAAAGCGTAGTACGGGTGACAGAGGAAACCAAACTTGCTGCCGTACTGCACAAGTTTATGGCTTAATACAGCCGATGCAACAGGTAACAAAATATGAGGTACAGTAAGAAACGACTCCCCCGACAGCACGTCACGGTAGTCCCATAAGCCGTTCCAAATAGGAAGCGACTCCGGGTGCGACCTTGGTGTACAATACCCTTAACTAGCGATACTGCGATAGGTACTAGCTATGAATTCCCTAAAGCGGGGCCATGTTGAATGTGTGAATCACCGACAGCGAAAAATCTTAACACCACGATGCAGAATTTGCGATATCGACGCCACTGCCATCTAGCGGTGCATGCCGGAAATATTTTGTGTTATTGCATGATAGGTGATTTTGTTACCTATCTTATTTAGTTTCAGTTTTATTGGTAAGTAAATTGGCCTAATTGACATTTTTAACTTTAGGTGCCAATATCTCGACATACACAAAAATGCAAATGCGTTACTTATGACAACGGGAGCAGAACCCTACATTGCATTTTTCAGTTACTGGTCACCACTTAATCACTTTTATTCATCAGCGGCTGTTAAATATGATATACGAGGGCACAAGAACGTACTTACTGAAAATTGTCACATAAAAGAAACACTGTTAAGCACTGTGTTTTGGTGCCAATGTTACACGTATTTACTAGTAGCCGACTTGGAGAACCCGAGACTAGGGTTTGTCTTGGCACTTTTGAATGATCGAAGTGAAAATGTAACATGACGGAGTCCATGGCAATCATTTTACTGCATTCTAAGATAGGACAGGTAACTGGTCTGCAACGAAAATATTTCGGGATGGCGTACCTTGTCGAAAGTCTATTTATTAAATGGAAATATCTTGCTTATTATTACCATGTGACGGGACGAACAAGTCGTGCGCCTGATGGTGAGCGGTATGCCTGTCCACAGCAGTTGCAATGCCACTCAGAGCTTTAAATCGCAAAGATTCGAGGGACATTGCCACTGTGCCCGTCACCCTGAAAGTGGTTACACACGCCGACTTGTAGCAGCGATGCAAACGCGCGTTCGTGAAACGTGCGATTGCATCGCTACACTTGCGATTTATAGGCGACTGCATCGACGTTAACGCGCGACTGCATCGATAGAAACGCGCGGCTGCATCGATACAAACGCGCGATTGCATTGATACAAACGCGGGGTTTCTTCGATGCGATGCTTATAAATCACAAGTGTAGCGATGCAGTCTCACGTTTGCATCGCTGCTAAAAGTCGCCGTCTGTAACGGCTCTTAGACATAAGTTGACAAGTCGTATGTGCCTGTAATTTCACAAGCACCATTACCATTCAAAACCGGAAACGCAGTAATGCTCACATTACTGCTCGGTGACAGAAATAGGTAAGGTGGCTGCACTTCTCTGGACGAACTCTTTCGTAAGAAGTTTTACTGTTGCTAATATATTTCTCATTGGGAATCGAATGCAAAGTGAGTAGCTGACTCATTGACTTACAATTATATGGACGTCGGGTCCGCGCTAAAAAGTGTCCGCACTTGTAAGGCGCTAAAATCGTATACAGAGCGCCAAACTCCGCTTTAGTCTTCATTTGTTCGACTGACAGCGCGATACTGCGATGACATTACAATTTAAATTTCGAATAGGTTCACTTGGGACATTTTTTTCGTGGTTTTTGTATTAGACCCGTCGTCCATTTATTTGTAAGTCAATGAGCTGACTGTGCATTTTTCGTGTACTGACTGTTAACGTGTGTAACTGAAAAGTAAAAGTCTACCTCGGACACACTTTACAATGTTTCGGCAACGGTTCCATGATTTTAAGACTTTGCACGGAGTGCGAACTGGACAAACTCGAACAACTCGATTTGTTGTCACAAAAGTTTGCATTCTTATATTCAATTATCGTTTCCAAATTGTCCTTTGCTCGAATGCTTTTCTGAAATAATTAAAGATGACGTTGAATTTAATATGAATCATTGCTTTGTTAATATTGATAAGATCAATGAGCTTCAGAAATCTGAAGCAGTGTCCGCTTTATAAGTGATGTAAGTATGCACAATACACACAATGTGAATTAATGGAACTATTTTTTCCCTTCTTACTTTATGTTTAATGCTAACTGTGGTATTTTTGTCCACAGTCCTAATTATATAGTCACTCTTCGAGACACGTTTTGGTTCTGTAAAGTAAATTTTAATACTGAGTTAATAATAGTACTCGACTAGAATTTCTCGGCATGACTTTTTCATTTATGTTACTTACTTAGCGCCTTACTGCGCTTATAATGATCACCGCTGGCTAAGTCTTTAGTTCGTGTTGGTTCTGCATATTTTTTCTTGCATCTATCAGGAGTCGGAGGTAAGCTTTTTTCAGCGAAAAAATCTCCACTCTCAGGCCTATTGGCTGTCGACTCACCTTTAATGTAAAATAACAATAAAACACCACTTCTATAGAACATTAGTGTAATAATATAAATTTGCTACTTTTCGATGTTAAATTATGAACAGTGCCTCTATCATGAGATTACAATGACAGTAATTGCTATCGACTACGTAAAATGTTTGTATACAAAATATTGTTTCTTCTTGTGACCGCCAGGCCGCTGTACAATTTGCCATACAAAATTGTGAAGTAATTTACGCGGTCGCTAGCGACAACTGTCACAGTAAACTCGTGGTAGAGGTACAGATCTATGTAACAAGTACAGTATATTTAATGAAACTAAAAGTAATGTATATAGAGTGGATAATATCTATTTATGAAATTCCCGAATGATTAAAAAAAATCAAACTTCAAAAAAGAAGGAGGTCCGCGATTACTCCGACGTTTGTGAACGGATTTCGAGCAATTATTATTTTTTTGTTGGAAAGAGGGTACCTCAGTAGTGGTTCCATTCAAATTTGAAGAAAATATTCCACCTCTAAGAATAGAAAATTAGGGGATGAATTCGGTTTATTGAATTTCATCCACTTTCCGTTAGCCGGTTTCAATAAAATTGGGCTCGCAGATGTAATTCCAATGAAAATAAAATGTTACGGTGACCTAGAACTGATCTGATGATGGAAATGGCAGACAGATGAGAGGATCTCCTCAATAGTGCACAGCTGTGTTTGGCGTGGAATTTCATACACATTTCAGTTATCGTTAAGGGGATCGCGGTAACAAATATAGCGAAAGTGGATATGTAAGCTTTTGAGGTCAGTTTCTCTTTAAAAAAAAAAGTTGTAATTCTAAATACACTACCGTAGTAATGTAATTACTTGTTACACATCAAAGATGTAAAATAAAGTACAAATTCCAGGATTTAAGAAGTAGGTATTGTCCACTTTAATTTATCATTATTTCTTTGTAGTTTAAGTACTCTGTTAAAAATGATCGAATATTACATATTTCTACATTATTCCACGTTAAGTAATTTGTTGTTTAAAAATAAACAGTAAAAGTTAAGCCACCATTTACATGGTACACAAATTACACCAATATGGTTCAAATCAATGTTTACGTGTACAAACCGGTTTTCGAGAAAGCAGCTCTGACTACTTACTATATATAATACTATTTACTCCGTCGCTCTGACTAAAGACATAAGAATCAATAGTTTATGTAATAATCTTACCTGTGCGCTGGCAGTTTTCACATATAACATGGCCTGTCTCGCAGACGTATAGATCTGCTTGCTTTGACATAGAATCGCATATTGAACAACGCAAGGAATCTTTTTGGGAATAGCAGATGTCGATAGACGATTTATGGCCCTAGAATGAAAGAACAAGAAAAAATATTGATAAATATTTAAAAAAAAGTCGTGGTAGATAAAAGTGTAGGTAACCCAATGGTTTGACCTATCATCTGTCAAGCAGAGAGAGTATCATGGGTTTGAATCCTGGCTTGCACCTCACGAGTTTCTTGAATTTATACACGACATTTAATTTGAAAATAAACCATAAGTGTTTTAAGCAGTACATTACGTATGTCATAATTTAACCTAAATATGTTGTTGATCACGCACATTGTTACGCTTGCACTTTATGTACAATTATGTATATTTTTAGTACAATAAAGACCTTGGGACAGCACGGTGCTTTACATATTTAACATCAATCTACCTCAACTGAACAGTCTACTCGGAGATACATACAACAAATCCTATCAAACATACATTACTACGAAAATTCAACATTTACATACATTGGGTACGAGCCCCAACATTGGTCCTTCGAGCCAGATGTAATACGGTAATTTTTCGGTAAAGGAAGACATCATGAGGAAACCTGCACACAGATGTGCAAAGCAAGTGAATGATGTGTGTGAAGTCTCTGATTTGCATCGTGACAATTAAAGGTCAATCCCTCTCGTTGTCAGAGGAGGTCTGTGCTCTGCAGTGGAATTATGTAGGCTAACTGTTTATTTCAATTTTTTATTTTGTAGTTAGTTTGACATTTTTATTTATTTACTTAATGTTACGTTTTTCTTTATTTAAATGCGACTACGCCGTTCTAATTATACATAAAATTATTTCATACAGAGAGTATAGAAGCAGATTATAATTGCCTTAACTTCAAGACTCTCTTCGATAAAGGACGATTCAAAATCCTGATGCATCCACCAACTATAAAAGCACTAAAGTATAGCATAAACACAACGTATAAACTTAATTAAGTTTTTCCGTGTACCGCCCATTTCTCATTCCTTGTAGTTTGCGTGAGAGTCGTTAGTAAAAGGTGTCACTAAACCTAAATCAGACCCTTGTAAGTACATCCCACTGGTGAATACGAGTCTCTTCTAATAACGCTTCATGTGCAGTTTTAATATTAAATTTGGAGTTGGTATATTGTCGGAAAAAGTTATTTATGTATAAACATTTCAATGAATGAAATGTTATATAATATACAATTATAGCACAGAACAGTAATGTAAGTATCACAGACTAAGCTAATGTACAACAGGCGGCCTTATTGCTAAGTAGCAATTCCGTCCAGGCAACTATTTAATTCATGAAACGGGTATTTCTTCGTTTTAAATAGTTTTCTAAATTAGGTTCCATGTTTTTACAATATAACGAAATTTTTATCGTTTTTTGCATTAGGTATTATATATGATACCATAAAGATTTTAACAATTTGCCACCAATATTGGGGCTGAAAGTAAAGAAAAATACCATAGTTTTGCAAGAAGAAAAATAGTATATATAATTTTGAAATGGTCTGTTTTACATTAAAATTATAACACGGAAACACTAAAGTATTCTATTCATATGAATCGTTGTGTCTAGTTGTAAATGCAGCGCATATTCGCTCAATGTAAGTACTTATGTATAAGTAAGTGTAGATGAGGTAACTTATTTAAACAAGACATTGCAATATGTGCTTTACATCACAAGAAGTTTAGTTATGGTTGAAATAACTTTCCGCAGATGCCTAGTTATTTATAGTGTAGTTTGTATGTAACAAATTAAAAAGCTTCTATTTCTGGTTTGACAGAATTGGTTTCTGTTTAATTGAGCAGTAAGTATGAAGAAAACAGTAGTTTTATTCTTGAAACGTTGTTATAGTGGCATTTCCATTGAAGCCTATTTACGTAGCTACATAATGGTATTTACATGATCTCGCAAATCTACACATTTCTATATTCTTTGTCAGATTGTTGTAGAATTTTGGTTGAAATATACTATTGATTTCAAGAATAATTTTCCCTTTTGTCTTGAAATTAAGAGAAACACGAAAATTTCTGCGTTTCTTTAATGATACGCAAATGACAACTTTTCATTTTGTTTTTCTTATTTATTTTTAATTTGGTTCACAAAACTGGATACAATTCTAAAATAAGGTGAAAGCGTTTGGTAAACATTATGATATGACAAGAATGTACTCTAACCTACTTGATGTGAACACAATAATCAAATTTCATTCAAAAAGTGAACAAGAACAAGAACAAGGATGAACAAGTGGTGCGCTTGATGGTAAGCGACAAGCCTGTTCATAACAGTTGCAGTGCCACTCAGAACCTTAAATCTCAAAGATCTGAGAGGCACCGCCACTGCGCTCGTCACCCTGAGATATAAGTTGAAAAGTCCCACGTGCCTTTAATTTCACCAGCACATTTACCCTTTAAAACCGGAACACAGTAATATTCACATTACTGCTTGGCGGCAGAAATAGGCAAGGTGGCAGTACTTCCCTGGACGAACTCTTTCACAAGGAGCTCTACTGCTAATAAATAATAATAATAATAAAGCGTTTTATTTAGTTATTATAATACAACAATTTAGCCTTAAATAATATCTTCTAAAGTTACACATGCAGATAAAAGGTAAGAGTCTCGGCTCGTGCTGTTTCTCAGTATTTACCTCTTTGATGATGCTCGCTATATTTTATATTAATAATAATAAAAAAAAAAAAAAAATCATTTATTTCAGGCCGTAAGCCCATAAAAAAAACAGCACAAAAATAAAATTAAAAAGAAAAGAAAAGGGGTATTAGTAACACAACACATCTTAAAACTATGTTAGTACAAAAATAATAGTATGATGTGTACCGAGAAGCTCCAATAAAATTATCACTAATTATACACAACTTAAAAATGATAGTAATAAGAAATTTGCATTTAATACTTTGAGAAGATGTATAACAAACCCTTTCTGAAGCACAAAAGAAATGTTTTTGTAGGGAAATAAAGTTTTAATATATAATAAGAGCAATTAGAAAATTATATTGATAACCCATAAACATAAATCGTATTACATTATTTACAATAATATCTATTTATTAGACTTTAAAAAATATTTTATAGAATCTGCATGACTTAAGTTTGTAACACTCTTCAAAGACGTGTGAAGTCAGCGATCCCCCATTGGGTTAGCACTACACTGGGGGACTAAACCACCTGTTTAGAGGTGGCCTGTACTCAACAGTGGTGCGTAAATGAGTTGTTATATTACAACGTAAAAACAATAACGGCTCTAGTCACATTATGATACTTTATTAAATTACGATCGTTAAGCCAATTACGAACTGTGTATGGATCTTGTCATTATTTAACTTTTACTTTTTTATATAGTATACTTTTTTGCGTGATATAGCGATTTTTAGTCTCAATTTTGATTCTTCACGACCAAACCGATTGAGGGGATTATCTTCAGCAATAGACTTCGGTGGACTAATATTAAATTGCTAATTTTCCAGAAGTAACTGTAAATTGATTACATATTGTTGAATTGGTAATAAACAAGGATCAAATATCTACATACCTTTTTAAACATAATAATATTCACAAATAAAACAAATATAAAAAAATCTCACTATCTACAACTGTACTGATAGTTGACAGTTTGTTTTCATATGTCAGATTTGTCACAATTGGTTTTTCACGTTTTTCATAATCACCAAAACGACGGAGCCATAGATACAAAAGTTGAAGTTGAAGTTGAGATATGATCACGAATAGTTTCCTTAATTTTTTTCCATCCTCTAAGCGAATAGTTTAAGTATTTAAAAATATATAGTTCTTTTTGCAAGGAGATTTGTTTTTAAATGTTTTATGTGCCAAATAATTACACCAATTACCTGGCTACAAACTAGGGAATTTCCAGAATTATGAGTGCCACACCACCGGAATTCACCCTGGAACTCACCTGGAATACCCAGACCACAACCAATTTACAAAAATTGATTTCCCAAATTGGTTATACCGGGAATACTCCTCATTCAGCGCTCACAGTGTAAACCGTTGAGATACTGAGGTCGTTTTTTTAACCGATTAAAAAAGGCAAATTATATTAGATAGTATTAATTTTAAAGTAGCTGTTTGGAAAATATTCCGCTTGAACTCTAAAATAACAGTAATTGTATTGCCTTTTTTCATCAATATTCATCGTTTGGTCAAATCGTGATTGCAAATTACATCATATTATTTTATTACATACAAATAAATATTTAGATAACTAAAGATTAATACTCAATTAGTATTTCAAGGGTACGTTTGAGCATAATGAATATCAGACCCGGTTCTTCTGAGGCTCCACACAAGATCTATTTAACAACTGCTTACTTTAATGTTTTGATTATGATATGAAGTGATGGGACAAACAAGAAATGTAACATTTGCAGTGTCACTCAAAACTTAAAATCACAAATATTGGAGGGGCACTGACATTGACCCGACTGACCTTCTTCTCATCTCATCTTAAGACAAAAAGTTAAAAAGTCCCATGGGTCTGTACTTTGACCAGCACCATTAATATGGACTGTCACCTGTTGAAAAACGGAATGCAGTAATACTCGCATGACGGTTTGACGGCAGGAATAAGAAAGATGGCAGTCACTTCCTTGGGTGAACGCGAACTCTTTCACAAAATGGCTACTAAAGTTTTTAGATAGATATGTAGATAAATCATGATTCCCTTTATGTTAACGCACTCTAAAATTTTACATACTTTACAAAAACAATAAGGAATTATTTTGGATTTAATATTAAGGAATTATTACTATATTGCGGTCTAGAACATTTGTGACGTACCCTCAAGTTTACAACTTATTCTTCTCCCATTACGCAGTGTTGTCGACAATATAGTAATATTTCTACGTTACGGTTTGATTGTCAGATTGTTGGCATTATATAGATTTGAGATTATTGTGCGATTTTGACGATATTACAAAACAACAGATATGTGACGTAATCTCGTTACGGGGTATGTGCTGGATATGTGTGTCATGTTGGAAAACTGTGTTTGCAATGGAGAACATTTGCCTTTTA